CGGTCTTGCAAGCGAAATAATGGGGCAACGGATAACTTCTCAAATTCCTGCCCACTGCGGATCACGTGTATGAACAAGGGGCATTGTGGCTCGACGGCAAGGTACGACTCACGCCCTATGCTCATCCTAAGCACTCTGGCGCGGACGGCCGAGGCGGACAGCACGAGGGATCACTCAAGGGCTCAGGAGTTCCGCAAACCAGCCTGAGCCAAGAGCGAGAACCCCCGTCTCCTACTTAAATAGCAACAAACTCAACCATTCAGCGCCCACAACTAAACAACAATAGTATAGAGACAAATCAGATGGCATGGGAGGCGCACTCACCTGTAGTCAGCCGCTAACTCGGGAGGCTCAAGCGCGCGATCGCTTGAGCTCAGGAGTTGCGACGGTTGCTGGTGGACAAGTAATTGCGTCGCGCACTCCTAGCCATGGGCAACAGAGTAGAAACTCTGTCTCAAAAAAAATGGCGAGGGCTTCTTTTGGCGTTCTGGTGTGCCTCCACCGATGTAGACAGTGAGAAATTCCACATCAAGGTTGAGAATCAACACAGCATTACAAGGAAATCCGTCTAATCAGTGTCACGTTCGCCTGCCATTAACAAATTAAGTATGATTTTTGGGCCCAATGCCATAACAACAAATGTAACATGGCATTTAAAGATCACAACAGTGCTTAAGGGAGAAGCTCAACTCTTCTGACGGCCTTGAGAAATCAAGTGACTCTTTGTGCAATATTTCGCAACCTGAGATCACTTACCCCTGGAAACTCCTGAGATTAGATCTGGCCTGGTACGGTGGCTAATTTGTAGCACTCTGCCAACAAGATCCATGCATACCAATTTTGACAATTACCATGTTTCCCTGAAATAAGAACCAGGATACTTATTATTTGTTTCTCCGTCAAGCAAATCATCTTCCTCAAGAAAGATGTTTGCTATTTTTTTTTCTAAGATTCGCGTACACAACCACACTCGTACATTTGATTCCAAATCAGACGTGAAGTCTTCTTCTACTTGGAACATCTCTCACTCTCGAAGAACCCTTGGATTCCATCCCTGATGGTCTCTGCGACTCTATTTCTTTTAGAACCAATGCCCCAAATCTCCTCATGGTGGAGCCACTAAGAGCTCTCACGGTCCGGATCCGAGAAGGACACACTGGCTGTCCTTCTTCCCACTCTGCACATGACAAGGCCATGCGTCTGTGCAGATGCAACTGTGTAGCCACGCCCATCCACTAGGGGCTTATTTTCATGCCGCCCAAGCACCGCGGCTATATTTCCATAGCCACGCCCAGCCACCAGGGCTGTATCATGGTCCCATAGCCACGGCACCATCGTCTAGAGTTTAATTTTCATCGCCCAAAAGGCCTATCACCAGGGCTGTATTTTTCATAAGCCACGCCCTACCACTGAGGGCCTTATTTCATAGCCACGCCCCAGCACTTAAGGGCTTATTTCTACATAGCCAACACCCATCACCAGGGCGTTAATATATTCATAGCACGCCCAGCACTAGGGCCTCTATTTTCATAGCCACGGCCCAGCACTAGGGGCTTATTTTTCGCAGGGGTGGGCTTCTATTGTGACATGCTCTAACATCCTTGCTCGGGCGGCATTTCATTCTTGCATGGTACAGCGTCTTATCTCTTCGGGAGGACAACGCAACGTCGTTCCCAGCCTTTATGATTTTGCTATAAAAAAATTCAAGATCTGCCGGCTTCCCCTGGGAAAATTGAAAAGACTATCTTTGGTTGACTCTGGTTCTTGCATTTCTTCTTTCTTTTGGACAGAATGGTGTATCCCATCATTGTCACTGCCCACCCAATTCCCGTTCCCCACCTCATGCCGCCCATGGCCGATCAACATCAGAGTTCAGGGGTGGCTACGGAAGGGCAGTGAGCACACACGTCGCACGGTGGCTTGACAGGATGGTGGGAGTGGCCCACGGCACTTCACAGCAAGCATCGGCCCAGCCTCGGGACGGGCCCTGCCGGGGAGCCATCCAAGCGAGCAGCCAAGTCACTCCACCTGCCTTGGCCACCACAACCCACAGGGAGGAGCTCCCATTGCTTTCATTTATGTATTTTTCAATTTCCCATATTTACTTGGGGGCCCCAATACGGGAAAGCGGGGGCCTCACCTCCCTGCAAACAAGGCGGTGCTCACAGGTCTTCTTCGGCCTCTGCAAGCTGGGCAGGG